TATAAAATATTTTTAAAAAAATATTTGTAATAAACAATCTGTCCTTGAAAATGTTGAAAGAGTAAACAAAATGTGTGCCCCAATGTTATTTAAATAAACTGCCCCCCCCCCCCCCGAACCCAACCTACCCCCCCCCCCGAAAAAATTTGAGTTTATACAAATTACAGAATTGTTTTTGAAGGGAAAATAAATAATTCGTCTCTGGTAAACTTGAAAAAATTGGAATGAATTAGAACTAGGAAGCCAAAGGCTTGAAAATTACCCCCATCTTCCACCCCTCCCTCCCCAATCAGAATTTATCACAAAAACCCTTGTTCCCCACATGGCCAATAACCGTACTATTTTATCTTTCTACAATACTACAAAATGGGTAAAAAAGGCAGTCTTTGTTCCTCTATCTTTGTACTAAGTTATTATTTTTAAAAAACTGAAACTTTAATGTGCTAAAATATATATAATCTTACCGCAACTGTCGTTGTTTACACCAGAAAAGTCCGGATATGATGCCTAAAAAACGTCAGTCTCCTTATGTATTTGCTCTTCTTGGTTCATATATATGGGTTGTATGTTCGTTCGCCCTAAAACTTGTTCGCCCTTGACGCCGTTCGCCCTCATTCCCGTTCGCCCAGAGTCCGATCGCCCTGAAACTTGTTCGCACAGGGTCCGTTCGCCCTATTTATATTGCAGAAAGTTGAATAATGAAGCAATGGATTTTTTAAATAAATTATATGTACATTGGTACATAAATTGCACACAGGAGACAACAGAAGTATGCATGTGGTCACAGTTATAAAATAAATACCTGTCCTATCAAAGACCCGGCCGACCAACAGAAATTAACGTCTCAGTCCTTTAATTGTTTTCAAAACATAACGCAGATTGTATGATCCCCTAAATTACAGTGACATTATTAAGTATAATTAAAGCAATTAAGCATGTAAAGAGCATAAATATCAAATTTGAATTATTTAATTAAGATTACGGTTAATAAAAAAAAATTATGTAGCAACATTTGAAAAAAAAAACACCAAGTCGTAAAATATTGAATAAAATTAATAATAAATGTTGATATTTACTATATACTATATATATAATAGGGCGAACGAGATATAGGGCGAACAAGAATAATGGCGAACGGACCCTGCGCGAACGGACTCATGCGAACAGGTAGATAGGGCGAACGAACCTGATACCATATATATGATCCTGTGTACCATGATTATGCTGAACTTCTGTTTTTCGATCCATTTTACTCGCGAGCAAATGAGAGTTTATTCAAAATCACCTCCAGCTTTCTCTACACGTCCCGGGAAGAATTTTCAAAATGGCGTGGGTGAAATATTGTTGACCAATCAGAGAACAGCACGGAAGAGTTTTAAAATCTGACCAATCATATTGTGTCATATATACGAAAATTACCGATGTTGAGATCGGAACAGTTAGAGAAAACATATTTACATGGTTTTAAATATCTTGAATCAATTGAATAAACCTAAAATTATGTTAGAAAAAACGATGTTCAATTTAATCATCAGAATCATTTTTTTATTCCTTACGGAATTTACCGATTACGAAACATCGTTATTTCCGGTCATCATTTCCGCTGAGAGCAGCCATTTTTATATTCAAGTTGACCTGTGAAGTAGACCATAAAGTTCAAATATAATGATCAAAACGAGCGGGAGATACATAATATATAGCCTTTTTGACGGACAACTTAACTCATACATACGGTACCAGAGATTGAAATAATGTTTAACAACTATCCTTTACACCAATTTCACAACATTTTCTATATTATTTTATGAAATTCTTTCGTAATAATTTCTTCTTTTTTTTTTAAAAGTGGATAATTAAATAGTTCTATTCCATGTAATTGTAATACGTAATGAATTAAATATAATGTATACTAAATTGAGTTGTATAGTCAAGAAAACATCGTAGGTACTGTAATTAGTGGAACTCTCCATGTTGTTTGTTTTTGTTTTGGTTGGGATGTGTTTTCACGGGTAAATCATGTTATTTCTTTGAGTAGTATAACATGTACTCGTCTATTGTTAGCCTGCAGGTGGCCACCTGTGCTGTTGGCGATAGTTGTAAACACTCGGTTGTAAACACGCTGTAAAATTTTCAACACAAAAAGAAAGTCTGAAGCTCTGAAACTTCAAAATTTACCGCGTGTTTACAAGTATCATGTACAGCACAGGTGTCCCCTCAGACGTATCTATCTCTTTCCAAATGACAATTTCACACCTAGTAAAGACATGTTTTAAAAATGAAATTGTTTAGTTAACAAATTTAAACTACTGAAGTTTTCTGTTCTAAATAGCAATTAAATGTAAATAGTATAAAAGCAACCTTTATAGCAGTGGTCTTAATTAATAAAATCTGAGAAAAAATATTAATTCCAACAGACTTATTGCAAGGACATTCTGTAAATTTTCCTAAGTTCAAAGAAATACAAATTTCAGTAAAAGAAAACACTAAGTCCAAAATAAATATAAAAAAAATACATACTGACTGTAAAGTATTTTTTGAAAAATTATTAAGTCCAAATTTAATACAAAAATAATACAAACTAACTGTATGTAATTTTCTGTAAAATTACTAAGTTCAATTTTAATACAAAAATAATACAGATTGACTGTATGTAATTTTCTGTAAAATTACTAAGTTCAATTTTAATACAGAAAAAATACACTTGAAAAAAACTAAGTCCACAAAAATACAAAAATGATATACTGAAAATAATCTAAGTCTCAAAAAATACAAAAATAATACCCTGTAAAAAAAGTCAGATTTTAATACAAAAATAATCTACCTATTTGTTGGTGATACAAAAATAATATATTTTTTCTGTATTAATTTTAAACAATACGAAAATGATTGTATTAAAAATATATTAAAAATATACTTTTATGTATTATTTTTTGATATGGGAAGTGAAGTGATAAACACACTCAGAGAATGGGTAAATGTGAATGAAGTTAACGCAAGCACAGTTGATGATCTTCTGAAAAGATTAAGAAAAACTGTAAATCCAAACCTTCCAGCTTCTTCGCGCACGCTTCTTAATACACCAAGGCACATTGATCTAAGAAGAGTTTCAGACATGGATTATTTTCACTTTGGAATTGAAATAATGATTTTTAATACATTAAAGAAATACACTCAAACGGACATTGAGGCGCTTAGTAATAAATTAATACTATCTCTGAACATCGATGGACTTCCTTTGTTCAAAAGCAGCAAAACAACAGTATGGCCAATACTAGGACTCATTTGCAATTTAAAACCTCCAAAAGCGTTCCCTATAACATTGACTGTTGGCACTTCAAAACCATCGAACCTAGAATTCTTGAATGAAACAATTATTGACCTAAATAATTTAATAACCAATGGAATTAACATCAATGAAGAACATTTTGAAATCAAAGTCCTGTGCATAATTTGTGATGCACCAGCAAAATCATTTGTCAAGTGTGTCAAACAATATTCTGGGTATTATGGATGTGACAAATGCGAGCAACGTGGGCAATATATAGGAAGGATGACCTACCCAGTCATAGATAATCTTGTTTTCAGAACAAATACATCATTCCGGAACCAAACACAAGAAGAGCATCATAAACAAGATGTTCGATCTCCATTTCTTGACCTTCCAATAGATATGGTACAAGACTTTCCTGTGGATTACATGCATCAGGTGTGCCTTGGTGTAATGAAAAAGCTTCTGTTAACTTGGATGCGGGGCCCGAGAGCGAATAATCGACTGTCCATTGGTCAGATTTCTCAGATAAGTACTAAACTTGTGTCTTTTGCCCATTATATGCCTAAAGAATTTGCAAGAAAGCCAAGAAGTTTTGAGGAAGTTGATAGATGGAAAGCTACCGAGTTTCGCCAGTTCCTTCTATATACAGGACAATTTGCTTTAAAAGGCGTGTTGCCACAAAACTTGTACAAACATTTTATGTGTCTTTGCGTGGCAATAACTATCCTTTTGAATGAAGACCTTGTTTTGCATTATTCAAATTATGCACATCGCTTACTGTGTTACTTTGTACGGAATTGTCGCAGGTTGTATGGAGAGGAGTTTTATGTCTATAATATACACAGTCTCTTGCATTTACAAACAGAGGCTGATGCATTTGGCTCATTAGAAAATTGTGCAGCATGGCCTTTCGAAAATTATATGCAGCAGTTGAAGCGTAAAGTTCGAGGAGGGAACAATCCAGCAGCTCAGTTAGTTAAAAGGATATTTGAGTCTATGGAAACCGATGTCATCCCGGAACAGGCGAAAGTTAGAAAAATAATGTATAAAAGACCAAACAATGTTTACAGAACTGATAGGAAGAAATACTGTGAGGTAATCCGGCCTCTCAACAGGGACAGACAGGCTTTTCTCTGCAGAGTATACTATTCGTCAGAATGTTCCTTCACTTATCCATGTGACTCTTACATCATTGGTCACGCACAATTCTCTCATCAAAGTTACACTATAAAAACAATTGAAGCTGATAAACTAACAACAAGGTGTCTGAAAATACCTTCTCACCATGACAACAAATTTGTTTTTATTCCACTACAACACAACTTCCAAATGTAACATTTATCACCAGTGAAACAAGAGCTTTGCTTCAAGTTTAAACATGGTATGTGTTTAGAAAAGTAAAACTGAAATTAAACCTTAAAACTTTAGGACTACTGCTTAGTTTAAAATATTTAAATTAAAATATGGATAAGTAAAAATAAATGCTGCCATGTTATATCTGCATGAATGAACTTTAACAGTTACTCACTCAAAATAACTTTTACTAAAATCAAATGTAATATAACATCTATAAACAATTTAACATATGCCATACCTATTACTTACAGTACATTAATTGATAATTCTTGCATTTTGCTAAAATAATCAAAGATTACCATGATTACTGCATATGATTATCTACTCTAACACTTTCAGAAATATTTATTAAGAATATTTTTTTAAAACTTTAGGCTCTCTTAAATGAATCATGTATGCAGTTGTACATTTTGTGGATGATGAAAGCGTAGAATGTGTCCCAAAGTCATGGCTGGAAGGGGTAAGTATAAACAATTAACTCTTTGAAAGCATGAATATTTACCTAGTTTTTGTAACATGATTAAAAAATCAAGAGTTACATTTACTTTATTTTCCATGAACAGAATATGTCTCGAATTATAAGTAACTGGAAATAATTACTCGGTAATCATTTACAACTGAACATTATCTGCATATATCAAACCGATTTTGTTATTTACTCAACACTTTTACCATTTTTATCTTATTTCTTTTATTTGAAGCAATACTGCTATTGGCCATCCTCTAATGCAAAGAGAAAAATACATAAAATGTCCCTGCCAGACAAAGACAACTGGCAAAAATATAGATATAGGAAAATTGGTCAAGGTGGGGTTTTTGGTTGCATTGTAAAATTCAATAATTTTTGAGACATGACAAGCACGAGACAGTCTTTTATGACATAATAAATATATTTTTATAAAATTATTTTGAAATCAATAAACAGATTATGAGGACTATGAAACAGCCAGAAAGAACCTGAAAAAAGCAGAGGAAACATCAAACCTGGAAAGTGAGGAGGATTCGCGGAAGAGGAAGCAACCATCAAGATTAATAAGCGAGTCAGAAAGTGGAACAGATATTGAAAGTGACACAGAAGGTAATTTATTAACATTTGATCAAGGACCATAGAAGCAATTTCAGTCTGAGGGACACTTTCCAACAGAAATTCCCTCAAAACCAAGAAAAAGTCAGATTTTATTAAGGAAGATGAGGGACCGGGGGGGGGGGGGCACAACTGTAAATAAACGCTTTGTTTTTTTTTATTGTATTTTATGTATTTTTAAAATCATTGGAGAGGCACAGTCCCCCATTACCATCTCACCCCGATTCCTACAGGCTTGTAGTCAGTGTCAGGTTTAGCTCAACCTATTGTATTTATTACATACTACATGTAATACTATCATATGATACACAATAATTGTTTGCTTAAAGAATATTTTTGTCTTGTTAACAAAGGTAGAATGCCGTCTCCCCCAAAGACAAAATTTTCACAGAGAGAGAATCATAAAAGACATATAACACCTGTGAAGAAAGCATCAATAACATCATTACAAGATAGTTCACCACTCTCTCCATCACCACCACCACCATCTTTGCCAGCTAGGAAACATGACCTAGCCACAACTTCAGTAAAGAGACAGTTGCTAAGTACAAGTACAGCAGTTCGTAGGTCTCCAAGGTCAAAAACAGGGGTTTCAAGCTTCAGCACTGAGAAATCTCCACTGAGAGTTACAAGTACTCCATCAGCATCTTCAGCTGGAGGTGCTATGTCATCTTCATCTAGAAGTACTTCTTCATTTTCTCACCAAATACTTGGTATGCTATTAAATTATTTGAAGGTATATTGCATAATTTGAATTATTTGATTAATTTAAGTTTCATTTATTTTTCTTTAATTTAATCAACTTATTTTAAAACTGAATTTCTGTTATCAGCAAGTAGCGATACTGGAACATCTGCGACAAAGAAATCGGGAGGAAACATTTCTGAGTTAATCCATCAAGGTGTGTAAATTTAGTCCTGATTGTATAATGACTTTATTTTCAATCTATAAAAATTAAACAGTTCTTTCTTTGTAAGATTTAGCGTCTTGAATTAAACATACATCTTAATTTTTTTCATTTTTCATTTTATTTTCTAGATGATAAAATTAAGCAGCTTATTTCATTCCAAATTTCAGTTATTTCCAAGATAGATATTCTACAGAAGGACATATCTGCCATCAAAAGTCATTTAGTGTCTTCTGTGGATGTTGATTTTGACACCATTGAAAGCTTGCTACCATCAGGAAGTAAGCTTAATTCTGTCAGAGAGGTAGAAGACTTTCAGGAAACATTAGATGACAGTTCTAAGAGGAAACTGGTAAGGAGTAAAATGTACATTTTGCATTTGTTTTTGTAGAACATGTTGATTAAAGCATTTGTTAAGTAAATTATCATTTACATGTATTATATCAAGATAAGTGTAGGTAATATTTCATTTAAATCCATGTACTCCATGCGTATATATATTCATAGCATTTACAAATGTTTTAGATAAATGCAATGGCCTCATTGCAAGGTGGAGATAATGCCGGGGAAATATGCAGGGCAATAATGCGGTCTGTGATGACAAACAACTGCATGAGCCAGTATAGTGGGACCGGACAGAAAGGGAAAATTGCCTTCATCGGCACACCCCTGTACAAAATCATCCTTTGTAAGTTTAACACATAAACAAAACAATGCAACAAGATTGGGATCATACATACACCAAATATCAATAAAATGTTAAAAAAAGAGAAAATAATAATAAGAAATTCATAAATATGTTGAGCTATAAATGTTGTGATAGTAAAATTAAACTGTTTTAAGTACATATACTAATTTACATTTCTTACAATGTATATCATTTTACATTTTAAAAGCTGCTGCTCGCAAAGCATCAAAAAAGACAATCCAATTTGAGACGATCAAAAGAGAGGTGTTAGATGTCTTACGGTTTGCGCCTTACCTTCCAGGAGGCAGTAATTATTCTAAAGTATGTATCAAGTCTGCTGATCAATCTGATACTTTGTTTCTTAGTGTAACTGCATGTATACCAAATATGTATTAATGAAAAAAGATCATACTTAATATAATTTTACGATGTCCCAATGTATTGATATGTTAAACTAAAAATAAACAATATAAATTAGAAAACATAATTGTAAAGTTAACATGCATGTTCAAATATTTGTTTTTCAGAGGAAAGGAAAGAAGTCAAAAAGTCCCCGTGTAGAGGAGTTCCCTACAGACTCCGAATAAAGTTACCAACTATTTTCATATTTCAGATTAAGTAAACTTTTACTAGTTACATGTAGAAAGACTTTTTATTTTATTAACAGTGTAGGTGTTTAAAAAAATAGTTTTTTTGTGTTCTATTAAGGAAAGGTTCCTTCTTAAAAAAATATTAAAATTGAACAGAACATTGTGAAGTAAAAAAAAATTGACTTTTTAACATTTAATAAAATTGTTTGCAGAAAATTGTTTGTTAAGTTCTTAAATATCAAATGTTTTTTTTAAATGTTTTCCAAACGTTTTTACAAAATGTTTGCAAAACATTCCTTTTAAATGTTTGCAAAACGTTTTTAAAAATGTTTTTAAAACATTGCATTACAATGTTTTTGAAAAATGTTATGATAACGTTTAAAAAACCACACAAAATAACGTTGTAACAACGTTTCCGAAAATGTTTTCATAACATTTTCACAACGTTTTCATAACGTTATAATAACGTTGTTGTGCTAACTGGGAACAAATCAAGTATGTAGTCATAATTATCATTGAGAAAATTAGAAATTCTATGACATTCAGTGTACATGTATGTTTTCAAATGTTGTGCATACATGTAGCAGCAATGAGACTGCTTGTTTTTAGTTTATTTATTTATTTTGTTGGGATGGAGGGAGGGTCCATGTCCATGATTTAAGAAAAACACTAGAGCTGTGTATTGAGCAAAAAAAAAAAATTGATACGATGCGATATTTTATTATGCGATATCCGATATATTGGATTCTTTAACAAGTCTATAAAAAAGTCTTATAATTCATTTAATGCATGAATTTTATAAAAAACTAATTGTTTTATATCCCATTTCGAAGTTCTTGTCTCACTGTCATAACAAATTACACTTCAAATTCAAACTTTTAATGAATGTGAAAAAAACATGTTAAATAAAGTTGTCTATGTATTTTGTAATATATTTATCTAAGATGTGCTATCTCCTTAATGATTATATCATTATTGATCAATTTTAATTCAAAACAGTGAAAAATATAACCTTTGGTGATTGAAATTCCCAACTTTTTCATAGAATTAAAAGAAAATCTGCCTGTCCGATACGTATTGGAAGTTCTTTTTTCGATAGGATATATTCTTAATATTGATACGTATTGATTATTCAATATATTGATACAGCCCTAAAAAACACATACACGTAAAAAAGACATCACACACACAAATATTTTTAATAAGAAAACTGATGCCTAAACAATAAAAGTTTTTGGGAAATAACATTCCTTGTTCATGTTGTTCATGATAATGTTATGCAGTCAAAATACCTAACCCATGTAAATTGGTAGGAGTTTTTTGTGTTGGAACACCTGCACTTTTTTCATTTGTTTCCCAAAAGTAAAATTGATAATAATTCTTATTGATATTTTTCTCCTTAAAAAATTTGCCCATCTCCCATTAAAAACACTGAACTCCTATATAACATTTTAATAATATTTATAATATACATGTACATAGTACAGTTTTTTCTTCATATAATATTTTTGTAAAATGGAATGACTTGACATGTACATGTATTGAAGAGGTACATTATTTCCGAAAGATTTTTCAAGTTTTTTTTCTTGCATTTTGAATTATTTGGAAAGACCCAGTATTTTTTATGTAAAGCTGTATTTGCTTTCTTTTATCAACCATTGATTTGATAAAGAAAATCCTAAAGCTCTGATTCACCCAGTTCCATTCATATGTCATCCCTGCTTCACTAGGTGCTCAGCACTGTTAATTTCAATGGCGTTAGAGAGCAGAGCATGCCAATTCACCCAGGCTCAAGGGAATAATGTCACAGAAGTAATGTGTTTAAACTAAACAGAGCCCTGTAGTTTGTTTATACATTCCCGATACTAAACGGCTTCACAGCTTCACATAGTGTTCACTGGTCAATTGTTTATACTTTCCCAAGATATCATTACATATAACTCTGCTATTTTGTATTTCGTTAATTAAGGTTATCTGTGTATGAATTAGTACTTAGATTGGAATCAAGTGTTGTTCTTTAATTACCAGCAACAGTGACCTTGTCAAAGATCATACTCAGCCATATAGAAACTTGTTCTTGATAGTTTTGCTAATTGTCAACTTGAAATGTTTTGGAAAAAAGACAAATCCAATTAAATCTTCAATAATGTACTCTTTTAAAAAAGTCTGCTGCATGCAGGTAGCATACATAAGGGATACTAATTCACAAGATTGTGTAAAATAATTGTTTTCATCACTCACACAACATCATAATTCTCAACTAAGTATACTATATGTTTGAGAGACATCATAAATGCTAAAAAATCACAATTGAAAAATTTAAAAAAAATTAAATACGTGTTACCAGTACCTGATAAAAATAATAATAATGTTGTTTTTAATTGAATACTCAATTCTGAGTAACAGTTTCACTAATCGATACTCACATCATTCGATGCTTAACCACGATTTTGTATTTATTTATTCATTATGTAAAAACGGAGAAAAAAAAACTGAAGAGGCTCATGCATGCTTACATCACATGCTTGATATACATACAAAGGTTCTTATGACCATTGATTAAAAATTTTAATCTATTCCTTTAGCACTTGTCAAGCCATAAAGAGATTTCTTGATGATGTAAAAGAGTTAAAGAAAATCTTCCTATATTATTTCTCCATAATGAAAGCTGATAAGACAGAGGCTATAGAAATTGACCTGTAATTTTACAGATGACATGGGCTGTTAATCTTGCTGTAGCTGATCACTAGATTATCAATCCCAAATGACCCACTCTGCAATCCTAGATACAGTGTATCTGTGAAATTCTGATTTTGCTTGTTTCTGCAAACTTGCCAATAAATCACAGAGACAGAATCAGATCTAGCAATTTGGAAAAGGGGAAATAGGTGAGGGGGGGGGGGGGGCTAGATCGATATAAAAGAGAATGATTGTACTACTCAGTACAAAATATTCTTTAAATGTTAATTTTATAGAATCTTCTAAATCAATACATGTATATTTTTTAAAGTGTCCAGAGGAAATATGGATTTTTTCTCTGGATCAGGCGATGTTGTTTTCACGTTTTACAAATATTAATTTCTCATGTTGCTTTGCATGTATATTTAGTACAGGCATTCTTATATGAGTGAAACTTATTGAGAGGGACGTTAAACAACATACAAACAAACAAACAAACATGTAGACCATATATCATTCTCCTCTAGTTATTTTTTTTGTGTGATGATTTTAGTGATGATAGTTAGTATATATGTTACTTAAAGTTACTTAAATGGCCCTTATTTTTTTTTTAAAATAATCATTATTTAGTCATATACAAATGACTGATATACATATGTTTATGGTTTGTTTTTTTTGTTTTTTTTTTTTTTTTGTTTTTTTTTTTGTTTTTTGTTTTTTTTTTATTTTTAGACTAGAGTGTTCTAAGGAACGCATGTTTTGCCTGCTTTTAGCTTCATTGAAGATGTTAATAAATGTAAGACTGGTCAGCTATTCATTTGCTACTATAGCCGCGATTATAGTTCATGCATTTAGCGGCAAAGAAAAAAATCCATGGATAGTAAGCCGGATTGCCATGGAGTCTAACAATCAAATAGAAATTTAAATCTCCAACCCCTCAAAGCTAAAATGAATATTAGAAAAAATTAAATTATTGGAAATAATTATTTATCATCAGTTATTTCAAACAACACCGTGTACTTCAAAAGAGACTTCAGTCTGTCATTTCCGCAATTGTCAGTCTACATCATCCATTTTGGAATACCGATCCTAATGTATTTTCATAGTACTTTAAAAATTTTAGTTTTTGTGGTTAATGTATATCATACAGTGTCAAAGTACATTGTCAACATGTATAAATGCTAATTATCAAATCCCTGCCTCTCTAAATTCAAAAGACATAAGTTAATTTAAACCGTCTGCAGTATATTTTGCAAAGAAAGTCAAAGGTCAAGGTCAAGTGGACTGTTACGCTGGTATTTTTTTCAAAATATTTTATTACAAACAGTGCTTATGCTAAATAGCCTAGACTCAGCTTTTAAATGTCAAAAATAAGTTGAATATCGGCACTGTGAACTATTTTAAAAAATAGGTCAAAGGTCAAGTTCAAGGGTCAGGAGGTCGGTAATCATTGTGAAATACAAAAGCCATTGTGCAAAGCTATACATGTGCAAAATATGAAATCCATACCTTTTACAGTTCTCGAGATACAAGGTGTGACAGATGGACAGACAGACAAACAGACATCGGGTAAAGTGATCCCTAAGTACCACTCTGCTCTGCAGGCAACACAAAAATGATGTCCAAAGTTTCTTACAAAGTTTAATTTTGTATTACCATGTAACAGTTTACATAAAGGACATGACTTAGAAACAATTCATTGAACATAAAATTCTGCACTCAGTATTGGAACTGCCCATCTTGCTGACTTATAATAACTGGCAGTGAACATCGTCAATTTATTCCATATTTATCCTGTTCTGAAACTCAGCAATAAATGTCAAAACTTGATACCCTCTCCTAATCCAGCCAACTTGAATTGCGGTCAAGACCTTATTATCTAATGAGATCATTGTAGTCATTAACATTTACATCTACCACGCTTACAAGTTTAAGATAATGTAAAATGTAAAACACTTTTTTGAGGCCAAATGATAAGTATTCTTATGCTATCTATGAATTTTATATCTATTTTATTTTTAAAGATTGCTCTGAAGTGTGTAATGTTTTACCAATAAGAGCATTATTAACCTAAAGGACTGGGAATATATACTTCTATACATTGACCATAGAATGCTGTTTGATTTGCTATCTAGAAATACTTCAATTTTTTAAAGTGCTAAGCATAGCTAAGAATAGCTACAGTGCTGTCACCAGTTGGCAATTTGATTTCGTGTTTTAGGATAACTGCCACCTATGGGCCTTAATATATTATTAGCAGGTTATTTTTTAAATTAAGTTTTACTAGCGATACAATATAGTATACTATGATTGCTTCATGTCAAAGGACAATTAAAACAGCAGTATGGAAATATAGTTTCTGATTAAGAATTTAAGTGGAGAAAATAATTTTCAAAAAAAAAAACTCTTAGTTAAAAACAATTAAATTCTGTCTTAACGACTTGCATTTGTAAGCTACATTACCTACATTCCTTTTGTCTTTTTAAATATATTGACATTATCCTAATTTTTAAGGAGTTTGAATCGAAATTGTCTAATCAGTTCAATTACAGAATGTTAATTTCTCTTAATTAATTGCTTTGATCTTCTAACTGCAGATCTGTATCTATTATTAGACCCTGACTGATATAAACTTTCAGCAAGTAATCAGATATCATCATATCATCAGCACTGGTCTTCACTGTCCATGAAGCCTGTCCCCCTGCAGTCTCAAGGGATAGATAGGGGATATTAGTTGCAAGAGCTGATTTAAGGCAAATCTCATAATGTTTTCCTAGCATATATGATTGGCAGTGATTGATATCAAGTAATCTGTGAACAGGTCACCAGCAATATGTCAAAGTCAGTTGTATAAAGAATGATCTGGAGAGGGGGGAGGGTGTTAATAGACAAATCACTATAGAGTCAATACTTCATTTTTATAAAGACACAGATTTCAGTTTTTGAGGTTTATCTGAAAGGTTACCACTGCAAAGTAAAAATGAGAATCAGAATTAAAGTAAGCACTTGTAGATTAAAGGTGAATACGTATATAAAACTCATGAAATAAATTTGACAGCAGCACTTTTCTTTGGAAAAGGATAAATGAAACTTTTTCAAATTATGACCTTATAATTATTATCATATATAACAGATAACAAATTAAAACTTGTGAGAGAGATTCTAATGTGATGTCTAAGATACAATATCTATTTCAAAGAAAGGATGAATAAAGATAATTTATGTGAGGAGTATGGGCCTCTATTATGACGTCACAAAATAAACACTTCTCTGAGAACATTACCTTTTGTTTTTCAAGATTATACATGTATTTTCATAATTCATAGCAAATAAAATTTCAAAATTTTAATCCAAGTTCTCCATTTTTCACTGTTTTTTTTAAATCTCATTTTAGATGAGACATCATACAGAATCTTCTTACCACTATACAAATATTTTCTAATATTCTATCTCTGATACTTTATCTTTAAATCACAATTTTGAAAATCTGGAGGGCCCTTAATTTATTACTTTATTTAATTTTAAAATGTGATACTGAATGTGACATTTTTCCAACAGATGATGAAACTAAAGAATTTGTTGATGAAAAAAGCAGTTATGAACCTTTGGAGACCAAGGAATTGGATACAGGTTTTCTCCCTATTACCGGTATAAAGGAAAATGTAACTGAGAAAGAACCATGGTGAAAATCAAAATCAAAAAACCATGGGTGTTAACCCAGGTAGACATTGTAGAAAGTAATGTGAATGCCATTCAGTGAAAAGGGTAGCATATTGTTTGAAATGCTTTCTAGAAGTACATTGTAGTAATGAAAATTCTGAAGTTCCTTAATTGTATTTTGTAACTATGGCACTTTAAACTTCCTAATATACTAGTATGTACTAGGCAAGAGTTTTTGTTACAACATTGAATAGTTTAAACATACAATAAAATCAAGTACAAAAAAACCCCTGGAATTCTTGTAATAAGTTTGAACATCATGTTGAATTTTAAATGTTCTTGAAAATGTGTGCAATGACAGAACAATTCTTCAGAGAGGAAGATTATTTTGGGGATATTGGAGTTATAATATATTAAATATGGAAGCCCTTTCATTTGTTCTGCAATTAATTTTCCTAAAACTAATCTCAAATGCATCATATGTCATCCAAGTCCCTTGAATTCATGTTGATACATGTACATATATACTGTACATTGCACATACTTGTACTTAAGTCAAATATTTCTCTGTGCATGATTGATATTATGCTTTAACATAGCTTTATTAAAATATACTTTTTAAAAATGTCAAAATGACTTTTCATATATATATTTTTTAGTGTTTACGGATAAAAAACAAAAAAAAAGTTTCTACAAATATGTACTGCATTTCATGTACTAAAGAGGAACGTTCCTTCAATGCTTTATGCATGCATAGAGAGGAACATTCCTCCAATGTGTCATACGTAAACATGCAGTGTAAAATGTTTAAAGATATAGGAAAATTTGAGAGAGGAACGTTCCTCAAATGCCTTATGTTTGATCATGCATGAGTTGTCTACAGATATGTGAATTTGAGAGAGGAACGTTCCTCAAATGCAAGTCTTAAGCTTCACAAAATATAGTACTCAACAGCAATGCAACCATTTGTGAGAGGAACGTTCCTCAAATGCCTGCTGTAATAAACTTTATGAATAAAGTATCAACAGATAGAAATCTGAGAGAGGAACGTTCCTCGCATGTGAATGACTATAAGATGTTTAGATATAGGTAAATTTCAGAGAGGAACGTTCCTCGAATGCCTTATGTTTGATCATTCATGAGGTGTATACAGATATGTGAACTTAAGAGAGGAACGTTCCTCAAATGCCGGATGTGTTTAGATTCATGAGGTATTTAAAAATACAAGTTTATAAGAGAGAGGAACGTTCCTCTCTCTGCCAGATGTGGTAAGATTCGTATGGTATTTAAAAATACGAGTTTATAAGAGAGAGGAACGTTCCTCAAATGCCTTATTGTAACAAATAATTTGAAATGTATAAAGAGGAACGTTCCTCAAAAACTTAAAAAATCACCAAAAAGTGAACTTGTGGAGACACATATAAGGTTTTTCAGACCAAAATGACTTCAGATTGTAAAAACTGGGTAAAAAAAAGGAATTTTGATTTTCTCTGTTTGATTTGGATTGTGTTGGTAGGTAAAACCCATCAAGTAGATATTTATAGAAAGAACATTTCTGCGAACTTTGAAGTTTAGTATATTTCTTGTTTAGCCTGATCCAAGATCCTTTGATAGATTGTCATAATGGTCCTTACAATTAGGGTCTACCTAATAGGACTTCTCAGTTGATTATACAATTTACACCTGGGTGACCATTGCCCTTGCTGTTTAGTGTTATATAAAAAAACAATTAGTTTATTTGATACTTTTTATTAATTTATTTTATGTTAAAAACATTTATTTAATAGCATGTTAAATTTCTATTCAAAATGCATCGAAATAGCTTACATTAAAGGTATCTGAATGTAGTTGCAGGCATAAATATAATCACAATTAATTTTGTTTTGCACATATATTATAGGAAGCATTTTGGAGGCAAACCCTGTTGCAGCATTTCTACATGTTCCACAGATTGTACAGACTAGTCAGGACCTTGTAAATTCACATGTTCAACAGCTTAGGCAATTTAGTACAGGTATGTGTAACTCTTCTGAAATATAGGAGGAAATTTCAATACAAGACTTGTAGCATAACTTATATTACATTGTCAGTTCTTCTTTGCATGTTCCTTAGAGTGGATTATTGAGGCAGACCCTGATGGAAAACTTGCACATGTTCCACAAACCAGTGAAGACCATTTTGCAGAATATAAACTTTTTCCGCAGATAAGCCAAGACCCTAATGGTGTTCATGTGTGTGTGGTTAATTATTTGCTCTGAAGCTGATATGTGGACTGAATATAAAACTGTCTTTTTCTACAGTTAAGTCCATCTTAATCTGAAAATACTACCGGTACATTTTGAATTATGCTTTATTATGCAGAAAAAAAAATAATTAGTTTCAAATATGAAAAGTCTGTTGATACACTGCTTTGCAATTCCAAAAGTGATAATGTGATAAGTTTTGATGTGAATATGTGACATGTGCCATTATCAATTTTCATAAATAAAATCAAATACAAAGGCCATTCCAATTTAATGTTTTGCTTGTCGGACCCACACGCTCTTATTTGAACAAAGCTATACAAATAATATTAATTTAAATCTCCTGCACCTGGGAAATTCTGTGCCAGTTTCTGTTTTATTTCCGCTCTATTTTTGATAATTTAAATCTGTTTACTCTACAAATCAGAAAAAAGTAGAAAAAATATAATTGTCACTCAATTTTTTTCATGTTATGCCTAAAAATTTTGCGTACAAAAAAGTAATAATATTATTATTTAATCTCTTGCCCGCTCTTACTTTTTTCACCAGATGTGCGACGAACAAGAAATTAAATTCGCGTGGTGAAATTATGTTTTATTAAAACTCATTTAAGGAATAACTGTCTTATTTTTTGGATTCATGATGTGATCAATCGAGTGGCTTGCGTGATAATTTGCATAAACGCCAAAGGCGTTTATGCATAAAATTATCACGCAAGCCGATCGATTGATCATCGTCATGAATCCAAAAAATCTGACAGTTATTCCTAATATTTACATGCTCCTGATTCTGCAAATTCCCATGCTAATAGCCCCGCTTCTGTCTCTATTTGTCCCGCCCCGCACGTGATTTTTTTTTAACCGCGCCTATCGATGAACTAGTAGATTTATGTAGAAATAAAGTATTTTTACAATTTGTAATTTTATCTCGGACAAAGACATTGGAAATGTAAATATTTATGCAATAAATGATAAATAAAGACTAAACAGTCATGTTCACAAGCCAGAGGTGATAAAATATATATCTATTCTATAGGAAAAAAAGAATTATAAAGTGACATCAATTTTTCAAGTAATGTCTGTCTAGAACCTGTACATCAGATTTCGTATTTTGTGTGATTTTTTGAAGGATTTTTACACTAACAAAGTTAATAAAATCAAATCTTAGTTCTAAAATTTAATAATTTATTTTTAGATTGTCAAAATGCTTGTTAATTATAGTATCAAAGCTTGAATTGTATATCAATATTCTCCAGGAGGTAAATATTTCTATATATTGGTATATTGGTTGTCCCATAGTTTGTGTATAGTTTGTGGGTCATTGTCATATCGGTTCAACTTCTTGGATTGTGGGTCACGGTTATTTATTGTTCTAACATTTTACAATTTTTTTTCTGTAGTTTGTTTATGTATTTTTGTATCATTTGTGTATATGCATACATGTATATGTGGTTTGTGGATTACTGTCATATTTACATGCATGTGTCTGTTCATGGTGGATTGTGGGTCACTGTCATAGATTGTTTGTTCTTACATTTTTCCTGTAGTTTGTTCATGACTTTTTTATGTCTTTGTGTATAGACATTTGTGTATATGCATACATATATATGAAAATGTTCATGGTTTGTTGATCACTGTCATGTAAGTAAGTGTTTGTGTCTGTTCATGGGTTGTGGGTCACTGTCATATATTGTTTGTTCTATCATTTTTCCTGTAGTTTGTTCATGACTTTTTGTGTCTTTGAGTTAAGACATTTGTGTATAGGCATACATATATATAAAAATGTTCATAGTTTGTGGATCACTGTCATATATATACATGTATGTGTCTGTTCATGGATTGTGGGTCACTGTCATAGATTGTTTGTTCTATCATGGATTGTAGGTCATTTTCATAGGTTGTTTATTCTAATATTTTGCCTGTAGTTTGTTCATGACTTTTTGTGCCTTTGAGTAAAGACATTTGTGTATATGCATACATATATATAAAAATGTTTATGGTTTGTTGATCACTGTCATATATAAGTGTTTGTGTCTGTTCATGGATTGTGGGTCACTGTCATATATTGTTTGTTCTATCATTTTTCCTGTAGTTTGTTCATGACTTTTTGTGTCCTCGAATAAAGACATTTGTGTATATGCATACATATATGAAAAGTTCATAGTTTGTGGATCACTGTCATATATATACATGTATGAGTCTGTTCATGGATTGTGGGTCACTGTCATAGATTGTTTGTTCTATCATGGATTGTAGGTCATTGTCGTAGGTTGTTTGTTCTCATATTTTGCCTGTAGTTTGTTCATGACTTTTTTTGTGTCTTTGAGTTAAGACAGTTGTGTACATGAATACATATATATGAAAATGTTCATGGTTTGTTGATCACTGTCATATATAAGTGTTTGTGTCTGTTCATGGGTTGTGGGTCACTGTCATATATTGTTTGTTCTATCATTTTTCCTGTAGTTTGTTCATGACTTTTTTTGTGTCTTTGAGTTAAGACAGTTGTGTACATGAATACATATATATGAAAATGTTCATGCTTTGTTGAACACTGTCATATATACATGTATGTGTCTGTTCATGGATTGTGGGTCACTGTCATAGAATGTTTGTTCAAAACATTGTAGAAGTTTGGTTATGGCAGTTCAATTATGCATGTGGTTATGGTTTCTTGATCACTGAGTAATCATTACTTTCATAGAATGTGATTCACTGTTTTAAGATTTTTAGGTCACCTGAGTCACTCAGGTGACCTATTGCTATCTGTTTTCGTCCGTCGTCGTCCGTCGTGCGTCGTGTGTTAACATTTGAACATTTTCAGCTTCTTCTCTGAAATCGCTGAACCAATTTCAGCCAATTTTTGCATATGGCATCTATGTGTGAAGGGGAACAAAATTTGTGAATTTCATGGTCCCTGCCCCCCTGGGGCCTGAGGGGTGGGGCTAAAACCATCAAAATTAATGCAATCTTTAAAAATCTTCTTCTTTACTCCTGGACATCAAGCAGTCAAACTGATGAAATGATTGTAATAAGCATTGAGCCGTCTACCTAAATTGTGAAATTCATGGCCCCAGGGTCAGGGGTTCTGGTGCTAGGGCGGGGCTATATAGATCATATAGTGAAAGTGCATTATTTCTTTGAAAATCTTCTTCTCTACTCCTGGGTATTATTGAAACAAATTGAATACATAGTTATGATAAGCAAGGGTGACTCTACCAAAATTGTGAAATTCATGGCCCCTGGGTCAGGGGTTCTGGTGCTAGGGTGGGGCTATATAGATCGTATAGTGAAAGTGCATTATTTCTTTGAAAATCTTCTTCTCTACTGCTGGGTATTATTTAAACAAATTAGATACAGAGTTATGATCAGCAAGGGTGACTCTACCAAAATTGTGAAATTCATGGCCCCTGGGTCAGGGGTTCTGGTGCTAGGGTGGGGCTATATAGATCGTATAGTGAAAGTGCATTATTTCTTTGAAAATCTTCTTCTCTACTGCTGGGTATTATTTAAACAAATTAGATACAGAGTTATGATCAGCAAGGGTGACTCTACCAAAATTGTGAAATTCATGGCCCCGGGGTCAGGGGTTCTGGGGGGGGGGTATATAGATCATATAGTGAAAGTGCATTATTTCTTTAAAAAATCTTCTTCTCTACTCCTTGGTATTATTGAAACAAATTGAATACATAGTTATGATAAGCAAGAGTGACTCTACCAAAATTGTGAAATTCATGGCCCCTGGGTCAGGGGTTCTGGTGCTAGGGTGGGGCTATATAGATCGTATAATGAAAGTGCATTATTTCTTTGAAAATCTTCTTCTCTACTCCTGGGTATTATTTAAACAAATTAGATACAGAGTTATGATCAGCAAGGGTGACTCTACCAAAATTGTGAAATTCATGGCCCCGGGGTCAGGGGTTCTGGTGCTAGGGGGGGGGGGGGGGTATATAGATCATATAGTGAAAGTGCATTATTTCTTTAAAAATCTTCTTCTCTACTCCTTGGTATTATTGAAACAAATTGAATACATAGTTATGATAAGCAAGGGTGACTGTACCAAAATTGTGAAATTCATGGCCCCTGGGTCAGGGGTTCTGGTGCTAGGGTGGGGCTATATAGATCGTATAGTGAAAGTGCATTATTTCTTTGAAAATCTTCTTCTCTACTGCTGGGTATTATTTAAACAAATTAGATACAGAGTTATGATCAGCAAGGGTGACTCTACCAAAATTGTGAAATTCATGGCCCCAGGGTCAGAGGTTCTGGTGCTGGGGGGGGGGGGGGGGGGTATATAGATCATATAGTGAAAGTGCATTATTTCTTTAAAAATCTTCTTCTCTACTCCTTGGTATTATTGAAACAAATTGAATGCATAGTTATGAAAAGCAAGAGTGACTCTACCAAAATTGTGAAATTCATGGTCCCTGGGTCAGGGGTTCTGGTGCTAGGGTGGGGCTATATAGATCATATAGTGAAAGTACATTATTTCTTTGAAAATCTTTTTCTCTACTCCTGGTTATTATTTAAACAAATTAGATACATAGTTATGATAAGCAAGAGCGACTCTACCAAAATTGTGAATTTCATGGCCCCTGGGTCAGGGGTTCTGATGTTAGGGCAGGGCTCTATTGATTATATAGTGAAAATGCATTAATGCTTTAAAAATCTTCTTCTCTGCTTCTGGGTATTATTTAAACAAACCAAGTACATTGTTATGATAAGCAAGGACACCTCTTCCAAAATTGTGAAATTCATGGCCCCAGGGACAGGGGTTCTGGTGCTAGGGTGGGGCTATATAGCTCCTACAGTGAAGGTGAATTATTTCTTTGAAAATTCTCTTCTCTGCCCCTGGGTACTATTTAAACAAACTAAGTACATTGTTATGATATGCAAGGATGCCTCTTCTAAAATTGTGAATTTCATGGCCCCAGGGTCAAGGGTTCTGGTCAAAAGGGGGGGGGGGCTCTATTGATTATATAGTGAAAAATCAAAATTTCTTTGAAAATATTCTTTTCTGCTTCTTGTTAAAAAGCAAAGAAGCTAAGTATATAGTTATGATGAGCAAGTGTGCTTCTTCCGGAGTAGTGAATTGCATGACCCCTGGGTCAGATGTGCTGGTATAAGGGTGGGGCTGTTGATAATGTAGTGAAAATGCGTTAATTCTATTAAATAATCCTGTCTGCTCCTTAATGTTAAGCAGTTAAACAAAGTGATTACTTATGATGAGCAAACTTGAAACTTCTGGTCCCAGGGTGAGTGGC